GCCACGGGGGACAGACTCCGCCGCAGGCAGCCCGCGCGCTCTACGGGCCGCCACTGGGGACAAACCCCGCCGCGGGAAGCCGCGGGAGGCTGCGCGCGCACCCAAGAGCGTCTCTGGGCGTCTGGTCGCTGCCTGCTGCCCGCAGCCAATGAAAGAAGCTGCCGCCCGGCCCAGATTTTCGCCAGATACCCTGCGCCTCGAAATCACCCTCGGGACGGCGTCCCCCACGGTCTCCTCACCTCGGAGGCTGACGACCCCGCACGGGAAAACCGGGCGACGTACCAAGTCGGCAGCCCGGAGGCCCGGATTCCACGTGTCGAGGGCTCTTGGCATCGGGAAGCGCCAACGCTGGCCGAGGTCAAGGTCGCGGGAGGCTCGGTGCCTGCCTCGAACGTGTCTGCTTGCGTGTCTGCCCATGTCAGTCGAGGCAGAACTGGTAGGCAGCCATCTGCACCATTGAAGCGTGCGACGGCCATCATCTGACTTGGGTATACGCCCCAATCGAGAGAAGGAGCCTGTCCAGCCTCAAAGGCGTCCTCGTGCCCTACAGACTCCCTGCCTGGACCCCCGATCTGCCTGCGTGTTCCTGTCGGTTCGCTTGCACTTCCGAGACTTGAGATCATCGGAGTCAGACACGTGCGCTTTGCCTCGCCTCGCCTGGCCTCCTTGACTGCGTGACTTGACCTTGAGATCCACCCTGCTGCTGAGCGTGTGGACGGCTCGCTCTCTCCTTTGGATTGCTCGGCAGTACTCCATTGAGCCCAGGGGTTCAAGACCAGCCTCAGCAACTTGGCAAGACCTTGCCTCTACAATAAATCAAAAAGCTAGCTGGGCCCTCCAGCCTGAGTGACAAAGTGAGACTCCAATTCAAAAACCAAAACTAAGCCCGGCCGCGTTGGCTCAGCCTGTAATCCCAGCACTTTGTGTCTGGGCCACAGTCTGCGCACGTTCTAATCTTGAATTCCCTATTTTGACTTATGCATGTATTTGACGCAAGGTCTCGCTCTGTCACCCAGGCTCAAGTACGATCGGGGCTCGCAGCAGCCTTTAACTTCTGGTCTCAAGTGATCCTCCCGCCTCGACCTCCTGAGCCGCTGGGGCCACAGGAACGCACCAACAACGTCTGGCTAATATTTTAGTTTTTTTGTAGAAACAGGGGTCTCGCTATTGAGGACTAAATTCTTTTTTGTTGTTGTTTGGGGTTTTTTTTGTTTGTTTTGAGTTGGAGTCTCACTCTGTCGCCCAGACTGGAGTGCAGTGGCCGCTCCTGGCCACCACAGCCTCGACCCGCTGGGCTCCGGCGATCCTTCCGCTTTCCAAGTAGCTGGAATTACAGGTGCGCGCTACCACGCCCAGGTAATTTTTTGATTTATTGTAGAGATGAGGTCTCACCAAGTTGCCCAGGCGGGTCTCGAACCCGCGGGCTCAGGCAATCCACTCACCTCAGCCTCCCAAGGCGCCTCTCTCTCTCCTCTTTCTCTCTCCCCCCGCCATGGGTTCTCTTCATGTCGTCTTTCTGAGTGTCCAGAGGAGCTAGACATTCGGTTGCAGCCTATGAGGCTTCATCTACATATCAAAAAACTTCCTCAAAATGTGCTGTTCCACCAGAAAGAAAGCAAAGAAACTGCCTCAAAAGGCCCCTTATCTCAACGCATTTCCTTTCCTGATTTCAAAATTCCATAAGACAAAGCTGAACTCCTGCTAGTTGCCATTCAGGCAACCTCTGACCTGCAAGCCTCCTCCCCCTTGGAGATGTCCCACCTTCCCAAATGAACCAGTGTAAAATGTCCCATGTACTAATGTGTGGCTTTTTGTAACTTTTGGCTTCCTGAGATGCACAGACCTAGGTCACTCACATTTGGCTTAGACTAAATCTTAAATATTTCACAGAGTTTGGCATCTTTTGTCAACACGGTGTTTCCCTGGCTGGCCTTGAACTCCTGGGCTCAAGTGATCCTGCCACCTCAGCCTCCCCTTTGCTCTGATTTTTTACCTTTGAAATAAGGATTTAGGGCCAGGTGTGGTGGCTCACGCCTATGATCCCAGCACTGTGGGAGGCTGAGGCAGAAGGATTGCTTGAGCCCCAGGATTCGAGACCAGCCTGGGCTACACGGTGAGACCTAATCTCTACAAAACATCAAAAAAATTAGCCAAGTGTGGTGGCACACACCTGTAGCCCCAGCTACTCAGGAGGCTGAGGTGGCGGGATCACCTGAGCCCAGGAGGTTGAAGCTGCAGTGAACCATCATTGTGCCATTGCACTCCAGCCTGGGTAAGAGAGTGAGACTCCTGACTCATAAGTAGTAAAAGTTTAAATAGGCCCAGGTGTGGTAGCTCACACCTGTAATCCCAGCACTTTGGGATGCCGAAGTGATAGTATGGCTTGAGCCCTGTAGTTCAAGACCAGCTGGGCACTATATCGAGACCTCATCTCTACAAAAAAAAATTTTGTTTTTAGTTTTTTTTAAAGAATTGTAACTTGGCCAGGCTCAGTGGCTCAGCCTGGAATCCCAGCACTTTGGGAGGCCAAGGCGAGTGGATTGCCTGAGCCTGCGGGTTTGAGACCAGCCTGGGAAACTCGGCAAGACCTCGTCTCTACAATAAATCAAAAATTAGCTGGGCATGGTAGCGTGTGCCTGTAGTTCTGGCTACTTGGAAGGCTGAGGTGGAAGGATCTCCGGAGCCCAGCAGGTCGAGGCTGGGGTAACCGTGAGCGTTCGTGTCACTGTACTCCATCCAGCCTGGGCAAAGGAGTGAGACTCCAACTCAAAAGAAAAAAACAAAAAAGAACTATAACTTTAGGCCAGGTGGGGTGGCTCAGGCTGTCATCCCAGCACTTGGGGAGGCCGAGGCAAGTGGATTGACTGAGCCCCAGGGGTTTGAGACCAGCCCGGGCAGCTTGGTGAGACCTCGTCTCTACAAAAAAATAAAAAATTAGCCGGGCATGGTGGTGCATGCCTGTAGTTCTGGCTACTTGGAAGGCCGAGGTGGAAGGATCCCTTAAGCCCAGCAGGTCGAAGCTGGGGTGGCCTGGAGCAAGCACCCTTGCCCTCCAGCCTGGGTGACAGAGTGAGACTCCAACTCAAAAAAGAAAACAACAACCAAAAAAAGAACTGTAACGTCAATGAAATACTATATGTGACATGAAAGGACATGAATATCTCTGAAGAATATTAACATATAAATAAGATAGAAATTTAGTATCACCAATATATGTGTGTATAAAGTTTGGGGAATTTTTTTTTACTTTTCAAAAACCGTTTTTTAAGAGAAGACAGGCATAGTCGCACATGCCTACTGGAGTCCAGCTACTGAGGCGGAGGATGACCGGAGCCCGGGGGTGAAGGCTGCCAGAACTGCGACCATGCCCCTGCACTCCAGCCTGGGCGAAGCGAATGATCGAACAAAATGAGGACCTGAAAATCAGCAGAGCGAGATCTGCACGCTAAATACAATGAGGACTTGAAGACTGCACACGCTCAGGGCTCCCAAACGCGCTGGGTCCTCCCGCGGAGCCAGTCGAGCCACCCTCGGGGTCCCCACCTACAAATGAGCAAACCGAGGCGCGGCGGAGCGGCAGAGTCACCAAAGTCGCGCAGCGGGTGACAGGTTCCACAGCACGCCGGAACCCGACAAAAGGAAGGGAACCCAGACGCCGGCTGGCAGGTGGCGTTCGTGGGCGACCCACACTTTTCTGGACGGT